TTACTGTTGATCATCTGTCCATCATCGTATAAAGCCCGCCCTGACAATTTTAATGGCCCGCCAGATTTTGTGCCAGCATACTCGCGCTAATATTGAGCAATGCCAGACTGAACTTCCCGAACTCAAACGTTGTGGGCGGGACTAAGTTCGGAATGGCACCCAGGCTATTATTTTACAGCTGGAGCGGGACTTTGACAATTGACATAATTAAAATGACCAACAATCCTATTTTTCACCAGAAGATCCTAAACAAAAACTAAAAATGTATTCTTGACTTAAACTAAAGAACTCTGGTTATTTAGCTGAATAACAGTCATCTATGATTGAATTAACTCCTAAAAGTAACTCTAATTAAGAACTAAACTGAACTGAAACTAAGCAAGTCTGCAGATAAACTACAGAAGAAAACAAAATGGTTTGGCTGCACAGTTTAGTTTGAGCTTGGATGCTGTGACAGGGGTTTAAACAGACTGCTCATCTACTGCACATCAGTCTAAACCTGCAGCTGAAAAAATTTATCACAATATAAGCCTTATTAATATCAGTTAATAAGAGATGAATATTAATTGCTAGCTTTACATATTTGAGATAAGGACCAGGGGGCAAAAAGACGGAAAGTCTTCCTTGCAAACATGAATTCAAAATGTAGAGCTGCACATCATGGACAATCAATAAAATATTATAGTCATCACATACAGTTCTAATGCTAGTTTGATTTCACAACATGAAGACGGGTGGCACATACTAACTGGAAATGTTATCTCTGCAGTCATTAAAACGCGATAATCTTTTCATTCCTTCAGCGCGGAGATGCTTTAATTCACCAGGACTTTCACAACATCTATCAGCTTAAACGTTTTCCCTCTGCCTCATGTTTATAAACGCTTGCCTTCCCCTTCCTGTCGTGTCATCAAGCATCAACGCTGATGTTCCCGTCCATGTAAACCGATGCTTACTCTGTCAAGGTCTGGTGCCGGTGGATGTTTTTGAGCAGACACCTGCTAGGCATGAATGTTAAAACAGCCTCAGGTTAATTCTGCTGAGAACGACAGCAAATAAAGTTAAATACTCCATCACTGGAACTCGTGCAGATTTCCCCCTCTCACCTGCAGTCCTTCTAAATGAGATCACAGATTTGCTTCTTTAATCATGGAAGCTCTGTGTGAGTTTTCACTCTCATTTTTTTTTTTTTTTTCATCGTTTAAACTTTGGGTCACATAAACTTTGCACTCAGCTCCTCTCTGCTAGTGATTCCTTCAACGTAGCGGTGACAAATCGATGCCTGTGGATAAGTGCAGATAGATGTTTTTTTTTAAGAGGCTTTTGGTTGCTGTCAGTTCAGGGGGTGAGCATCTCCCACAGCCAACAAAAAAGCCCCTCTTTTAAAAACAGAAATGGGTTCAGAATCCAAATTAGCCCGGCTCTGTGTCATTAATGCACATCTCGCGACAGTCAATCTGCAGCTCGCATCAGCATCGTTTAGATTATTACGGAGTGAAAAGACCAAAGCTGCCTCCATCTAAAGGTCAGCTCTCCACAAAATGTGCAGAGACTGACATTCTTTGGTTTATTTTAAAGGACTAGAAGGGTTTTTTTTTTCTGCAGAAGAGTGTTTGGAGCTCCCGAATTCCTTCAAATTGTTAAAAGCTTTCTGCTTTTCTGATGCAGAGTTGAAGAAAAGAAAAACTGCGTGTTGTTTTGTGGGTGAGCTCAAGATACTTGTGTCTGTTGAGATTTTATAGAGGACTTAAAGCTCGGCTGTACAAGGACTCTCTCAACTCACTGCACACAATAAAGGGAACATAGTACTCTGGAGGACGAGTCCTGATCTGTCTGAGCACATGTTTTATACAATGGAAGAAGGGAAATAAAATTACAGGGGAATGGTTATAAAAAGGTGAAAGGGTTAGCCTTGATCACTGCAGCTCTTAGCATCCTTTTCATTTAGTTTCTTGTTGAATAAGAACGTGTTAGAATTATCATATTGCTGCTGTTTTGGCCTCTTAATAAGTATTCATGTCACCAAAAGGTATTCAGTCCAGAATTATAAGTGGGTAAAAGATTCAGTCCAGTACTCACTCAAAGCAATCAAATGTCTGGGCTTGAACAGTGAGCAACAGGAAGACATTTTTATTCCATCTCAGGTTAAACCACATGAAGATTGATCATCTAATCACATTAGCTGAACTTAAACCCAGCTGCTAAGAAAGCACCAGCATCAGATCTTTCTGTTTTCATCATGGTAGGTATGAACATCAACCCCAAAATCTGCTTTACAGCAAAAAACTTTGTGTAGCTGGGGGCAGGGGCGGATTTAGGAAATTTGGGGCCCTCGGCAAAGACAGGCAGGGGGCCCTCTGAATTTGAGAAGACAAAACATAAAACATACCTATTATACAGATACAGAAATTTTAATAAGAGACGTTATTTGTTCTACATTTTGTCACGATTGCTCCTTCCTGTGTTTCCAAAAAGTAAATAACCCAGTCCTTCTTTTCACTGTAGACAAGCCACAATCTTGTTATCTGTTCTCCATTTTTCATTTGGATGAAATAATAGCTGAATTAATCATGACAGCAGACAAGATAGGGGAGAGGGTTACCAATCTACTTGCTCTGGAGAGCAGAGTTCGGTGCTTTTATATGTTGTCGCCAAAGTCTCCAGTAACAGAAAAAAGTCACTATATCTGGCACTAGGCACTTTTTTGAAATAAAAGAGCTAGAGGGGTCTGAAAAGTTGCTAAATATAGCGATAAAAGTGCAAAGTTCGCAACGCTGCTCTTCTCATCGTTTGTTTTAAAATGGTTTGCTGCCGTCTGTTTGGACCTTTCTGAACATGTGCAGCAAATACCCTGATCAAATGTGGTGGAAAAAGGCCAGCCAATACATCTTTTCAAGGTAACGATAAAATAAAAACAATTGGAAATTTTGGGAAACCACAGATTTGTTTTGCCAGTTTTTCAACTTGTGCACTCAAAAACAGAGCAGGTTAGAAATCGGTCTGACCGAAGGAGGTGGATATGATGATCAGGAAAAAAAATCCCAACGCCTGTTGTTGTTAAGCCCTGACCGTGACTTTTAATTTTCTTCTTTTAAAGTGAGCTGAATACGTCCCTGCAGTAAAGGCCGTCGGTATAGCAACTGCTTATTGAGGTATACAACACTTGTTGACTGTTGGGTCCAGAACCTTGGCGCCCTAATGATGAAAGCAGTCCAGGTTTCACTGCAGTCGTTCCTTAGGTGGTGAAATGATTTAACCTTTAGTTCCATCCAGAGCCAAACGGCTTGTCTAGATTTGCTAAATCATCTAGAAAACGCAATGAGACCAATTACCTAAATGGAATAAAGCAGTAGATCATCACATTTTAGTTGTGAGTATAAACTTTTACATGGGATTTTTGACCTAAAATTATTTAAATACATGAACGAAGCTCTTCACAGCTGATGTCCCTCTATAAGCTGAAGAGGGAAGCAGACATTTAGAGCCCTTTGTCCAATTCTCTCTACCACACTTCTCCAATTTAGAAACCTGCCAAGCTCATCCTGCCTTTTAAAACACTTTTTTAAAAGTATTTTAAAAATAAAAGTATTTTACTTTTTGTGCATGTCTCCTCTGTCTTCAGTCTTTCTTGACTAAAGACAGAGGAGACATGCATAAAAATGATGATGCACTTCCTTTGTTCCAAACTTATAAAAGAAAAATGAGCATCCTGCTGCAGTGCTAACACTGAGTCTTAGCTGATCGCAGTGAGCAAACGAGTGTGAACATGAGCCTGGAAGTCACACGTCATCACAAGGCGAATACTCACAAAAGATTTGTTCATGGCTCGTTTGACCTCGTCTGAGCCGTCTGAGTAGATCTGCTGGAAGAGCTTGTTGAGCGCCGCGTCTCCCTCCAGCTTCTCGTTCTTCTCCTCCTCGCTTATGTCCAGCACCATCTTGTCCCACTTTCGGGTGTAGTGGGAAGATGTGGGGTACTGATCTGAAGGGAGGAGAAAAAAAAAGGTTTTGGGAACTTCGTTCTGTTAATTTCAGAGCAGAAATGGTAAGGAAAAGGATACAGGACAGAAGAGGGAAAATCCTCCTACAGCAAGCTTTGGAGGTATTCACATTATTTGATCTTTCTACTGTACGAACTAGAAAACTGTGTTTTACCAGGCTTCTATGTGAACCTGACAAAAACAAAATACATTAAGAAGAGACTATTAAAATTACACTTAGTCTAAAATTAATGACAAAGTGTCTTCCATTTGTATTCCACCTCCCAGGTGCACATCTTCAGGCTTATATCTGAATTTCAAAATCTCCCTATCAGACTGAGAGCATCTATGGTCACTCATTTTCAGGATCTCTGCCAGATTCTGCTCATGAAGTAGGTCAGGACTAACCTGACTCCGCCAGATGGATTTGCTCCGCATATCCATCTGGAAACCTTCCGTTGAAGTAATTTTGGGAAGGGGCGAAAATACTGGTTAGCCTATGTTGGTGATAGACGGGCCAAAAAAACCAATCAGATCAACGAAGCATATGACGTACTAACAGAGCGACGACGAAAACACAACCACAAGCCAGGCTACTCTTGCCGAGACCAGTCGGGGGAAGAGCAAAAACATCTTTTCCTCTGAGAAAAGCCTCCAGAGCAGTGTTTTGCTCTTCTTTCAGTGAAGAAATACTCTGTAATTCCGATAAAACTTGCTCGATAGCCACGCTAACGCTAGTTTCATCGGCTGAAGCCGCCATGTTCTTTAGACTGAACTGTCGCGCTTCTCGTTGCGTCACACCTCAAACTGCCTCAAAGTCAACGCTGATTGGACGTTCGTTTGGTGAACGGCTCCAAATTTTCTTTAACGGAGAGTCTCCAGACTGATTGGCGAGTGAAACCTTGAAAGCTCGCGAGATCAGGATGGTCTCACGAGGCTAGGTCAGGACTTTGACTAGGCCCCTCTGAACCTCTGCCCCAGTTTAGAATTTTTGGCAACACTCAGACCCACGTTCATGTCTCTACTGATGACATTCCCGCAGCATGATACTGCCACCACTTTTTTGTGCCTATTTTTGCCAAGTTTTCAGAGAGGACGGACTTGTGGAGGCCACAGCTACAGTTTTTATTCAGCCTGAGCATCTTGGTCACTTCTCCAATGTTGATGAAAAGCATCTCCACACTATGATGCTGCTGATGTGTTTTACAATGGAGGGTTAGCCTAAAAACAAGCTAAATCAGAAGGTAACACCTTCAAAACATTTGAGCATCTGAAAAGGGAGTATAATCTTGAGAACAGAGATTTATTTAAATATTTCCAGGTAAGGCATTTTTACAATACGAAAATAAAAAAAGGTGTTCCTCCAGAAGGTAATACTATTGTGAACATTTTTACGAAAGCTTATACTCACCTCCCTTGTAAAACTGTTTCCAAACTATATAAAGGGTTGCAGGAACATAATGGAAATAACACCTTAAACATTAAGTCTAAATGGTAAAGAGAATTGGGAGTTATAATTACAGAGGATGATTGGCTTTCAATGTGTGTGACACAACAGACATCTACTAGTTCCAAAAGATGGAAGGAATTTGGATGGAAGTGCTTAATCAGATACTTTATTACACCTCAAATTACTAGTAGATATAGAGGAGAAGAACAGCAATGTTGGAGACAGTGTGGTCATCAGAACGCCAATCACTCTCATGTATTTTGGTCCTGCCTAAAGTTGGCAACTTACTGGGATGGAATCTGTCAGACAACTGGGACAATTTTGGGGTATGCCATCCCCAATGACCCTAGAATTTTTCTACTGGGATTGATGTCTGGAAAAGTGTTTCAAAAAGAAGATCAGTACCTTTTTAAAGTTCTGTCAATTGCAAGCAAAAAAGCAATTACACGGTCTTGGCTAAAGAAACTCCCACCCCAGTTGGACCACTGGCGAGATGTCGTGGAGGAGATTCACTCTATGGAAAAACTGACATATCTTTTACGTATGAAACGACATTCATACAACAAACGCTGGTCTAAATGGCTGACGTACAAGAGCAAGGAAGCATAACTAGGTGTATCATCTTGTAATGTATTATTTTGTTTCTGTCTTTCTACTTATCTAAGTATCAGTGCCCCAAGTTCTGTGTGTGTTGTATGTTTTATTGTAATGAAAAATGTTAAATAAAGAGTTAAAAAAAACAAAACAAAAAAAAAACAAGCTAAATCAGTAAGAAATTAAGGCTGCAAATAAAATGTTTTGCTAAACTATTAATATGTAGATTTTTTTAGGATTGGTCGGTTTATAATCAGGTAGCAAAAAGTTAATTAAAGAAAGACTTTTACAGCTTTTAAACCAGGTGAGACAAAACTTTTCCACTTGAGGAGTTCTGGATAGAGCATTTAGATGGAAGACTAAATTTATTCTTAATCTTAAATACAAAATGTTTAAATATAATTTTTTTTTTAATTTTGGTATAATTACTGCTCTAACTGGGTTGGTCTGTCAGCTCAAGGCATCTTTTACAGTCTCTATACTCCAGTTAATGATTAATTGATTACTAAATTGGTTGACGATTATATCAATAATCCTTTAGGGCCCTGTCACACCTTACCGATTTAACCAGTGCATGCCTGACATCCCAGAATCTTCTAAAATGCTAGCATACACTGAACTTTCAATGTTTTCTTTCAATTTTAGGCATATAGATAGAGTATTCATGACAAGTCCAGAACTTAAGTCCAACGACAGCTTAACTTAAGCATAACGTACGGCAGCGTAATACCAATGAAATGTCAAGCCAGTGTCCTAAGGGAGGCAGCAATGCACATGGAGGCGCCTGGTCTGCATTAAAAGACGCATTTTATCGGGCTGTTAACCTAACTGCTGTTTACTGCCCACCAAAAAAAAAAAAAAGAAGAGTTTGGAGTCGCAGCAGATTCAGCGTCATGTCTGCTAGGTTGATTGTTGGCCGTTGGCGTGAACGCAGAGAGGATCCAGCACATTCACGTTCTCACTCACCCTATGATGGGGATGAAGTCGGGAGAACTGACGGTTTTCTCCTGCAAACCCCCTTTCAAACCAAAACACTGCAAAATTGCGATTATACAGTAGCTGTATGTTGGAAAAATGTTCAGCGGTCGTCTTGATATGCATTGGAGATAAGTTCTAGATAAGTTACGCATAAGTTATGCACAAGTTACTCCTAGAATTTGGATAAGCTGGACAAACCGACTTGTGAGTAAATTACATTTAAGGTATGTCAACGATCAAATAACTAGGGATGGAACGGTTTATGAAAACCGTCCGAACCGTTCGGTTCAACTGTCTCTGTTTGATTCGCGTGCGTTCGGTTCATGCGCTGCTCCTTTTTCTCATAGGCGAAGCGTTTACACTCCAGAGCAGAAGGTGGCGGTACTGCGACCAAAGCCAACCACCAGTAGTAAACAAGAAGAAGAAGCGAAGCAGCTTAGCCGGGTGTAGCAGAAAAAAATCAGTTGTCGTGGAGAATTGTGTGGGTATGGCGAGTGGAAAAGAACAGGCGTTGGACGACGCGCCAGCAGCACTTTATAGGTCTGCTGTATGGGACCACTTTCCATTTAGAGTGACCTATGATGCCGGCGGAAAGAAAGTTGTGGATAAAAGTGCAACAGTGTGCAAGTATTGTGCAACAGGTGTTATACTATACAAGACATAATAGACTTCACCCCTACAAATAACCTACCTGTAACTTATGTCCAACATATGAGCATATGCTGACGTACTCGCCGTATGTTGACGTCTGCCAGCGCGCTGCTGCATACTCATAACTTTTACAAAATATATCCATAACTTATCCAACGTATGCCAGCATTTTAGCCAGATTTTTTGTGCGTCAGACCTGCGCTGGTCTAAATCGTCAAGGTGTGACAGGGCTTTAATCATGATTAATCAGATTGTTTTAGCCCTATTGGAAATGTAACAAACAAACAAAAAAAAAAAAACAGGGATCATTTCCTGCCCACCTCTCAATTATGCATTGCTGTGTGTCGGTCTATTGCATAGGAGAAACGAGACATGCAAGGCTGAATAAATCTCCCTTTTCTCATCAAAGTCGCTTGGTAAACAATCACACTGAGGTTTGATTCCCGTTTTTCTCCCTGAATGTAAAACATCCTCTATAATCCAAACAACACATGAGGACGGAGAGCAGGGCGTGTAATCCAGATGGAGATTTATAGAAATACAGCAGCAGACAGATTCGGGCCAAGTGTGGACATATTGGAATGTGCCACAAAATAAAAAAAGTCCAATATGTTCCAATGTATCACAAACCTAAAGTTAAAGGCAGTCCCTAATAAACAGAAAACTGGGCCGTGGAAAAATAGTTTGGCTCCCCCCTTTATGACTTTGCCTTCCAAGCAAACACAACTACATAAGTATTTAATCGGGTCGGTTTCAGGAGCGCGTGGGCTACGATGCCGAGCTGTATGTTGCTGCCATACCTTTCCCTCACCGTCACACTAATGAAAGACTCCAGCAGGGCTGGACTGCCCACTCTCATTTTAGTGAAGAACAGACAAACAGCAGCTTATATTGATCTTCGCTGAGAGAAAGAAACAAGAAGTGGTTTAGCAGGAAGACAGGGAGACAGCCTGACGGCAGCAGAGGCAGGGGAGCAGATATAGATAGGAGATTAGAGGGGAGCAAAAAAAAAATAAAGATGGAGTTTAAATGGCAAAGCTGAGGACTGACTCGGATCGAAGTGTTTGATGTTGGACTCTTGTCCTTCTCCCTCCAGCTTCTCCCATCTGATGGCATCCGTCTTCTTCATCTTGATTTCCACCTGACAGAAAACAGGAGGGGGGGACAGGACAATGTTAGACAAAATGTGATTCTTTGGACGAAAATAACATTTCCGTTAAACATCGGATCATTACTGAGGCCTGAAAGTCTGACTTGTTCACGCCGCTGCGGACAACTTAGCCTACTCATGAGCGCGTCTGAGAGAAGTCGGGGATATGCGGGGGCACAGCTCAATCTCAGGCCTCACTGACAGACATACCACACTAACGAGATGCCTGTCAGCCAGAGGGCCAGTGTGAGAGACGGGCATGGGGTGAGGGGTGGGGTGGGGGAGAAAAATCCTCATTGCACACAGCAGCATCTGATCCGAATCATTACACCAGGAGAACATGGGAGAGGAGGAGGGAAAACAATGCGGGATGAGAGAGGACACGGACTCCTGAGTCCTTTTAACGCTGAGCCGCACTGACAGGACGCGTGGCAGCGAGACACGCGACCTGCCCCCCCCCCTCCCCAAACACCTATTAACGCTGCGTGTGTTAGGTGCGTGTGCGCGTGAGAGACGGATCAGGTGATGCCGACGCAATTAAGGAACATTTCTGCTCTGCTGGGCAACGTGATGATTCATTTACGAGGGGGGCAGCCGGGGGTAGGGGGCGAGCGGGGCCCGGAGAAGGGAGCAGATCGAGGGGAAACCAGGCGATGTGCTCGCCGTTAAGGGTGATGAGCTAGTGCGAGTGGCTGAACACCGATAGACTGCTCTAATACGTGTCATCGCTTTCTGCTGCACACTGGGGGCTAAAAACAGAACATCTCCGCTCAGAATCTGCTCAAGTAATGACTTTGCATCATAAGCTGTTAAAACAAATAGTTTACTAAAAGGTTGAAACAACTAGAACATCACATTGAATTCAAAGAGCCTTCATCAGCATGGATGAGGGAAAAATCATTTGGAGTAGCAATTTCAGCATTAAGTTCTCATGCCTTTTTCAATTAATGTCGCAACTTCTTCACAAGCCATAAATACCCTGGTTTCCATGGTAACGCTGGAGGGCTTGAGTGGTACATACAATGACGGCTGTCATCCCACACGACTATAATGCATCGAAATATTGTTCATAACTCTGGCAAACACACAGAGCCTCCGAACAACTTGGTTTGAAACCTTTAAGCTCAGCAATAAGTATTTTTAGCGAAGGGCCCGGCTAGCAACACAGCCGCGTTAAAATCTCCAAAACCAGACACAATAAAATGGCACATCCATGACATAAAAAGAAACCGAAACTAGGAGTCTGGATGTAAAATATTAAAAAGTGGAATTTTTGTGGGGATTCTAATGTTTTATTTCAGTATCAACTTCTTCCTGAGCCAATTAGACTCAGGAAGAATTCGCTAAGCTTTAACTGTGAACCATTTAGAGCTGGAAAGTTCAGCACCAAGTTTGGGTAACCCTCCCAATCGCCTGCTGCATTTGGCTCTGGCTCATAGCATAGCTAATGCTGGCCGGTGAACCTTAAAGCTTACTTCACATCCCTATTTTCAGCTGCATTTATAAACTCTGCCAAACCTTTCAAAATCCTCAGCTGATGTTTATTAACTCAAAAGCTGCGTCTCTATAACATGCAAGTAACACCTACAGATAAGGGATCAGGACTTAGAAAACAAGAAAGCCTTGCAAAGGTGTGATAAACGCCGTTAATAAATGAGTCGGTCTATATTAGGACATAAGAGAAGCAGAAAATGACAAGTATTATAAAGCTGGGGTTTAAGGTCCGATAAAAAAGGCAACACGTGGCCTTAGAGATAACAATAATTAAAATTATTTTAGGCTTTTACTGAAATATTTTTACTCTTAAAAAGGCAAAATGGATTTTTATGTGGAGTCATTGCTAATTAATAAAATGATCTGGTTCTGAGTTTATTGCAAACAAGAAGGTTCTGGGTTCGATTCCCGGCCCAGGGTCTTTCTGCATGGAGTTTGCATGTTCTCCCTGAGCATGCGTGGGTTCTCTCCGGGTACTCCGACTTCCTCCCACAGTCCAAAAACATGACTGTTAGTTTAATTGGCTTCTCTAAATTGTCCTTAGGTCTGAGTGTGTGGTTGTTTTTCTCTGTGTGTTGCCCTGCGATGGACTGGCGACCTGTCCAGGGTGTACCCCGCCTCGCGCCCATTGACTGCTGGAGATAGGCACCAGCACCCCTCGCTACCCTACTCGGGACAAGCGTGTCAGATAATGGATGGATGGATGAAAACGAATGTGTTGGTGACTAATGTTTATTTCATATAACAGATGTTAGCTTAGAAACAGAGCTGGTCATTTGGAAACATTATTAGGATGATAATGGAAATAATTCAACATCAGGACAAATTTTTCCTTTTTTTGTTTTATCACCCTTTGAAATATTGTTGTTAACATTGTATATTTCTTAAAGTGCCTCAATTTCATCTGTGAGGAGGGGTTAAGGATTAAGGTGATGGCAGCGAGGCCTTTAAACTCTACAACAGCTCATCAAAGAAGTGGAAAAATAAAAAAAAATGGTCAGACATCATAAGAATGGTAAAAAAAAAACAGCTTTCCATTTATTATTAAGCAGCTTAAGAAGTAACTTTTCACTGATATAATGTAAATAAAAGTTGAGTCTCTTTCTTCATAGCTGATACTTTTAGATTATTTTCTCATATTTTGAGATGCCTGCAATTTTCTATCAGAAACACAAGTGTTGGTTGAATAAAAGTTATCTAAAAATAAATTCTATTTCCCAAAATATCCTGTTCTGTTTATGTCTAATAAATAAATAGATTGGAATGTTTTCTGTTATGAACTGGTAAATAAATTTCAATTGTAAGTCTAGTTTAGCCAGCTGTAATCTACAATCAACCTTCGAAATGTAATTTTTTTTAAATCTAGCTTAAAGAAAATGACAAACCATCAGGAAACTCTTCATGCTCAGATATTATTTGTGATAAAATTAGTAGTAATGGTTGAAAAGCCTGAACTTAAAATGACCAAAGCTAGCCTGGGTGCCATTCCGAACTTAGTCCCGCCCACAACGTTTGAGGTCGGGAAGTTCGGTCTGGCATTGCTCCATAGTAGCGTGAGTAAACTCGCCCACTCTCTGGCGAGCCAATCAAATTATCAGGACGGGCTTTATACGATGATGGACAGATGATCAACAGTAACTTAATCAACCACATCACCAATGCGCGCTTGGGTGACAACAACAATGGCTGCCGCTGAAGAGTTGAGGTGTGCAGATTCTGCTATTAGGTCTGTTCTAGAAGATATCGACCGCAAATTCATTTTAAAAGGGGAACAGAGAAACGCGATCAAGGCTCATCTTCTTATTCTAGGCGTGCAACTGCACGCTTTGATTTTTATTGACAACAACTATGCGTTGCTTAACATACGTCACGCACTCCGTTGCTCTTATTGGTTGTAGGTCTATCCAATTGAGTGCAGAGGCATTTTTTATCCTGGTTCGTTCGAAACACGCCCCATAATCACAGCTCTATGGTGCAGTATCAGACTCATATTCTGACTAGAATTGAGTAGGACTACGTCAGGCTAGACCAAAGCTGCAAAGCAATTAGAAAACAACTAATTCATTATGTAAACAATACTTTCAATAAACAAAGAAACAAGCAAGTTGGATATGAACCAAATTAACTCTGATTTCATTCCCAACACAGAGTAGTGCTAAGTGTTATTTCTGAACTGCTTGAGTAAAACATTGCTGTTGGTTAATAAAAAAAAAAGAAAGAAAACTAAATAAACAACTTTTAAATAATTGAGGATTAATCTGTCAGATCCCATCTCTGATCAAATGCGTCTGAGGAGCTAACTCCAACTCATTTGGTTATTGAAGCAGCTTCATGCAAGACATTAAACATTCATTGAAGCTTTAGACATATTCAGCATCAGTCTGAGAAGGAGCTTTGGTTCCCGTTTTATGTCACTTTGAGAACATATTCCACATCTCACCAAATCTAATTTATCGTAGTACAATAAGTCTATTTATGTTTGGCTCGTGGTGCAAACTATAAACTTATTACGATGTAATTACCAGCCAGCGCCGCCGGTGCTGCTTCTCCTCCTAAATATTTAGGAGACTTTAGGTTTGACAGGAGTCAAGCCGAGGCTCCAGCTGTGTCAAAGCGAGTGCGCCTCTATGTGTGCTGCTAGGCCATACAACATTAATCTGCTGCCACATCTCAGCTTCCTGGCTTTCAAGGGACGTGGCAGGCCGAGCGTCGCGCATGTGTGCCTCGCTGTGTGTATGACAGGCGAGGCGATGGTCCTTAAAGGGATGTGACAGCAGAGCCACAATCTGGGGCCACCACCCGCAGGACCCCAGGGGCTGGACTATGCAACACACACACAGCGACTCTCTACAGAAGGGTCCCGTGTCACTTGTCAACCGTGTCGGTAAGCATCTTTCCCCACCGGCTCTCTACTACAACTCCTCATCGAACATCTTTACCCTCTTTCTTCCCAGATCTGCAGATTTCAAACTATTTCTCTAAAAAGACGCAGAAATGAAACACATAAACATTCTTGGACGTCGACAGCCGTGCAAATTAAAGCGGGGAGACGCCACTTTAGTTATTTGCAGAAAAGAGATGATTTCAGCGCGGAATGAGGGACGGCGAATGGATTCAAAATTATGTTCGGCGTGTGCACATGCACCCTGGTTTCTGTGTGCGAGTGCATCAGCCGTCTGTTCTGATCAAACACACTGGTGTGTAATTGGCTCCCCGTTGTCGCCGTGACCCCTGCAGTTGGAATGTTTGTTGTGATGGAGGACGGGAGGAGGTCGCGCTGACGATAATGTGCTGCAGACGACACTGACACACGCACACAGAAAATAGTTTAAATAGCACAAGTGTGTGGAAAGATTACAGCTCTGCTTTGCGTTTACGTGTTTGTGTGTATTGCTGTGTGCACGCTGCACTCCGAAGCCCAGCTTAGTTTCCCCCTGCTAAGTTGTCTTTAAAGACAGCGAGGAGATGAAGCGTAAACACAGCGAGGCGGAGAGTGC